CGTATCTGGCAACACTATACATAATTTGAAAGGTCTTGACATAACCTACAAAACAACGCTATGCATGATTAGTTTGGATATTGCGTTCAACAGTTATAGACGTGTAAACATGGAGTTCACTAACGCCGAAACTCGCGCTATTTTAAAGTTTTCCTTCATTAAAGGCAAATCCGCTAGAGAAACGTTCCGTGAGATTAATGTGTTTTGGGGATGGTACTCTATCACTTCGAACCGCGGAGGAATGGTTTCGACGATTCAGAGCCGGTGAAAACGACACCTTGGATAAGCCAGCCGGCGGGAACGGTAGGATATCCGCGAAAATTGGAGTTTTCTCGTAGAAACGAGTGAGCTGAGAGTGAGGGAGCAATCTCTTGCAACGCAGGGTTGTCAGTCTCGATATTTTGTAGTAATTACAAAATAGACTTGAATATATTTGAAATATTCTTAAAATATCTCAAAATTACAGTCAAATACATTTATTTATAAGGAGGTAGACTATTTTTAATAGTTGCATTTTAGTTTTGAGCTTTTACATTATGAAAAATTATAACTAAACAACTAGATGTGTGAAATATGGTGTATACAAATAGAACAATGGTAACACTTGTGAAATAAAAATAAAAGAGAACAACTGATTTCTGCGTTGCATTTACGGGCATAACTTTTGACAAATTTGGTTTGATACGGGCGGTAAGTACGGAAGGGAGGAATGTTGATGACTGTTTGAGCTATAAGTTTTTCACTAACACTAGTTGCCTACTAATATTCTACTACTAATAAAAAATTTGGTACAGGTTGCCTACTTATTTCTACTACTAAAAGCTATGTTTTAAAATTTATAACTTTAAGAAAGTTTTTATTACATATTCAAATATTTTTCGATTATTAAAACTCCAAATCATTAAATTTACATAATTATTTTCTAAATATTATTTATTGTATCAAAATATTATTAAATGTTTCCAATTTTATCAAATATCTTTATAGAATATTTGTGTAACGGTTTGTAAACTCTATGTATTTCGTGCAACAAGTTGATTATTCTTTCTTATATTGTTAATGTAATTTTGTATATTATTTTTTTCTGGTTATATTTGTTATCAAAAGTCGATTGTTTTGAACTTTAAATATAACATGGGTAAATATAGGTCTCCTGGGGAACCGAACACCCAAAAAGATCGCTAACGTGTAGGCACATCGGAGGTGGTAGAAAAACAATAAATATATATATATAATATAATAAACTTTTGTTTGGAAAGTATTCTTGAAAGTTTTCATTAACGTTTTCCATTACACCTTTTCGCAAAAGAGTTATTATACTACATTCCTTTTATTTACATCTCGGTGTCATAAAAAGGCAGATTTCGATCAGGAGATCTCAGCTGTGTAAAATTCATCAAAAAAAGATGAATTGTAGGTTTATACAATGTAGGTTTACACAATGGTCAAGCTTGAAATGATGCGAGATTCTTTGAATCGAGAGAGAGCTGTCAAAACCCACATTTTTTATAACATTTGCCAATGTTGAAAACCGTAAAAAATCGATTAGGTATTTTAAAAATACGTTTTGGCACACTACCATTGAGGTATGCAATTAGCGCGTTACCGATATTATTTTTGGGTGCTCGGTTCCCCAGTAGGGGATATCACCCATATACTATATACATATTATATTTACTTATGACAAATAAGTCGTAGTACTAATATATAATACTAATAATAATACTATGCAAACATAAAAAAACTATAATAAAAACAAAACAATTCATAAAAATTATCACATTTTTATAAAGTAAAACAAATAAACAAACCAAAAAATTATAAATAAACAATAAATATAAAATATATACACAAAGAAAGAAAACATTTCATAAACAATATCACATTTGTATAAAATATAACACAATACAAAAATATATATATACTAGGCGACCTCCGCTGCGCTCCGGGACGCTCGCTTCGCTCGCTCGCCTACGTCCGCCCCCCGCCGAGCGCGAGCTAGCTCGCTCTTATGTTAGTTGATTCTCGACAGCAGCAGAAAACTTTTATATATAATAGAGAGAAATAATAAAAATATAAAAATACATAAATTAATAACAAAAGTAAAATATATATACAAAGAAACAAAACATTTCTTAAGCAATATCACATTTGTATTGGAAACGTATAAAATACAAACATTTCCCATTTATATAAAAAATTAAGTAAACAAAATTAAATATTACTAAAATATTATACTTAAAAGCTATAGCTTAGTATAATATTTACATATATAGACAATAGTAATATATAAAATGCCAAATTTGCCAGAACCCAGTTTTGAATATACTCGTAAAAAAAAGAAAGAAGGCAAAGAAGAAATAGGACAAAAGAAGTGGTATCGAAAACTATATATCTATATATTAATTTTGAAGCTATTTTGTCCCCAAAAACCTACATATGCGAAACACATAATATTTTTGCCCTAAAGTGAGGAGTACTTAGGTCCCTATTGAAGAACTTAAGTGAAAAAAATATTCGTATCCTAATATATAACGCTAGAATATTACTGTTTGCTATTATCGCAATATTTATATGGGCTGACATTCTTCATTTTGTCGAACAATAATTGCCCTACACCTATTCTTTGACAAGTGGAATCAAATTCTCTAACAAAAATTGTTTCTACTGCTTTCAAATAATCTACAAATCCTTGTGGCGGCTTAATCAAATTACACCTGTCCACTTGCCTTTCCTGCGCAAAGAGATATTTTAAAGAAATTTCGTCTCC